GGACCTGGAGCTCTGGAACATTCACAGTGTGAAGGTAGAACTCTGGTCAGTAGATAAAGGTTCTGCAGAACCAGAACCAGATGTTCTGAGGAGGTTCCAGAGAGGAGAAATGATTAGTTTGTCGGCTACTTGTGAGAAATCAAACAGCAGCCGAACAGATAAACAGAGAGTTGGGAGGATGAATATTATAAATAAACTAATGAGACAAACGGGTCGTTTAAACGGCAGAAAATCCCGATAACTCCTCAAACATGTGCACATCCGTCTTTTCTTTATTTTTTATTCAATATTTTAAAACCTCTCCCTCTTACAGAACATTTGACAATAAACCTGTAGTATCAAATATGAACATACATCTGGTAACATACGTGTTTTATGTAACATGAAGATAAAAATAGAAGCAGAAACAACCTGACAGACACGACCCGGTTCACTTTCCCACATAAACAGCGACACACACACTCACACACACTCACACACATATATATATATATATTAAAAATATTAGAAATCACTACATACACATTGGATTCTACACATTGTTTTGGCTTCATTCGTCCAGTGTCAATAAAAACCAGTGAATCAGTGTCCGGTCTGGTTGGCGGTAAACAAAGTCGGTGCAGGCGGAGGATTTGCATGAACTCAGAGTCTCACAAACAAAGAGATTCTTGGTTTGAATACTCAAATTGTCGCTGAGATAAAGGTGGAAGCCGTGGAGCAGGTCCGACCAGAACCTCGGCGGATGCAGCTGAACGCTCCGGCGCACGTCGGGTTTGTAAATAACAATCCTGCTTCCCGTTTGAATCCCTGCAGCAGATTCAGGCACTGAGAGGAAATCTGACAAGAAGTAAATAAAAAAAGACAATTTCATGAGGCAAACTACGGAGACTTTGCGAAGCAGCCGTGCAGCTTTTCGGAGGTCCGTGCTGCTGCAGCGTTCGGGTCCAGAAGCTCGTCCCGTGGTGAGGCAGTGCTGGTTACCAAGTACATGGTCAAGTTCTACAGCAGCTCCATGTCCCACTGCTGGCTCGGCCGCTCGTCGCTCTCAGGCAAAACCACCACGTGGTCCTTGTCGTAGCTCTTTCCACCTGATGGGGAGACGGTGAAGGAGAAATTTAATCATCATGTACAAGAAGGAACGTTTGTCTTTTTGTTCTGGCACGTTTATCTATAAAGGCAGAGGAACTGGCAGGCAACATATGTTAGAATAAAATACGTTACTGAGCATCAAGGGGTAAAGAGATGGCCACCACACATACCAACAAACAGGCAGAAATATTCAGCTAAGGACGACAAAAAATAAATTAAAATACAGTCGGGACCCGATGATCCGACTCTAAATGTAAAACCTTCTTCTATGTCGGATATCAAGGCTGTCAGATTGTCCAGACAGAGGTCCAGATACGAGGAGGGCTTGATGCTGGAAGGCTCATTAGTTGTTCATTATTGTTCATAGTTGTTATAATAACTAGTGTGTTGTTAGAACACTACACATCGCTGGACTTCAGCCTAACTGACCGGTGCTCTGTGCCCGTTCCGTCCACTTCCACCCCGGGGCAGCGCTCTGACATGATTGGTGACATTAAATGTCATGTTGGAGTCACAATCCAAGGCTGTCGCTATGTTAAGGCTGTTTTTATGGGTTCTGTTGGTTTTTCCTACAAACCTGTCTGATAGCAGGTTCTGGATTGTTAAGGGTCGATTATTGGGTCACGACTGTGTGCTCAAGAACAAAATGCACAATAAAGTGTAAAATACAGAACGAGTAAAAAGCACCAAAGTGTCAAACGTACAATAGAACCAACAGAACCATTGATGCAACCTGTGCAGGTGACCTGTTTGTTTCCTACTAGATGCTAAACGTCGGCTGAACCCTCTGACGTCCAGCGACAGACCATCTGTGTGTCCATCCAACACTTACCTTTGACGTCCAGCACCACTCCGGGGAAGGTCAGGCTGCTGATCAGGCCTCTCATCTGGGCCGTCCACGTCTGCATCGGCTGCCGGGTCTCGGTCCACAGAACCACCTTGGCTCCCGGCTCCACGTTGCCGACCACCTGGAGGCTCATGGTGGGCGACAGCTGCAGCACACAGACGCTGGTTAGAATCCCCAAGGTTTGAGTTTATCAAGGTGTTTTTTAGATGGTTTGTTTCAACCAGCGTTCAGGAAACGTGGTGGAGATCGTGTTGGTCACACCTCTGGGCACCAGGAAGGAGGTACACTGATGGTTTTTAAGTTTTGTAGAATAAATAGTCAAAGAAATCCTGTTTTTTTTTCTGTTCTCTGATTTAATTTGCACATCTTGTACAGTCAGTAGATTTTTTTTTAAATAGTATTAAATCCTTTATTTACTATATTTTTTATCTGCTGTGATTTGGTGTTTTTATTTTTTGCTGCTGCATCAAAACAATTTCCAAAGTCTGGGATAAATAAAGTGTTTCTGTTTTATTCTATTTCCATCATTCTGCAGGACTTCATGTTGCAGAGAAACATAATCCACAAAAACAAACAAAAACACGTGGAAACTGCTTGAAATGTGCAAAACAATATTAGACGATAACTAAATATCAGGTTTTCTCCTTTTTGTAACTCGACTGATGCTAGATTTTGAGGCTGATGGTTGTAAAAGTAGAAAAAATAAGACACATACCAGCTGAAATTATTATTAATATTGTTGTTTTGCAGAAGTCATTTGCTCCCTAAAACATCTGACATTCACCAATAACACGATAAATATTCAGAGATGAGACGGCTCTTCTTGTTTTCATCTCGTTGTGGTTTCGTTCTCGTCTTTCCACCGTTGGTCTCTGCTGTGGTTCCACATGAGGTTTGTTGTGTTTGTTTCTGGCTGTGATCAGTTGTGTCTCTTTCTCTGGTTTGCATTTTGTTGTTCTTGTTTTACGTCTGTTTGTTTTTTTGTACATTTCGTGTCTCATTTCTCATGACGTGGGTGATTTAGTCTGCTGTGTTCCTTGTTTTTACAGTTTGATCATTTAGAGTCGTGTTTTGATCGTTTTTCTTCGGGACAGTCACATGAAACTATGAGACATCCCATAATACCGACGCTACCGGCTGCTTACAGAGGACATGAACAGAACCAGATCCAACATTCGACATTCACAAATAACACAATAAATATTCAAAGAAACTCAGCGTTCATCGTTTGTCTTTGTGTGGTTTCTGTCTGTATGACAGCGTCACGCTTTTAGAGTTTAAAAAAAACAAAGAGCCAACAGTGAGAAAAGATGTGGTTATAGCAAAGAAAGAACTAAAAAAAAGTGCTTAAAGTTGCATTTTAGAGTATTTCTACTGATGCATTTGTTGTTCAGTGATGTGTGCGTTATTTATAGGAAGTGTTTCATAGTGAACAGACTTTGGTTCTGCATGAGTTCTGCTCAGACGAGACCATCACTCTGAACCAACGCCTCCACAAAGTCACGTTTTCACTGCAGAAGCTGAGTAGAAATGAACCCAGAAACCGTTCAGGGTTCCTGGGTTGAGTTTCCGGTTCCTCCGACACCAGTACCTTGCTCTTGATGAGCCCGTCCTGGTAGAACCAGATGTCGCTCATCGGCTCCACCTCCGGCACCACCACCACCCGGCCCGACTTCATCTCCTCCACGCCGCCCTGGACCGACAGGTAGTGACCCCTCTCCCTGTTCTTCACGCGGAAAAAGTGGCGTTTCTGCAGGAGGACAGGTCCAAAAGTGTTACAGAACCAGAGCAACTCCTTCAGGTTGGTTTAAATGTGGATTCTGCACTTCAAATCAGGGCTGATCTACTTTATTTCAACCTTTTTTTATTCAAAAAATATGAAAATCATGTGTTTTATTTCATGTATTTTATGGAAAACAAGCATCACGTCTCTGCTTTGGCGTTAAAAGTGTTCATTAGTGCTGTGATAACGTTAAACTGATGCACTAACAACGTTTCTGGAACAAATCCTTCATCTTCAACATCCAGTTCTTCTTAATCAGTTTAGTTTTTCTACAAACAACGCTTCCCTCGTTAACCTCTAAAGGACGCGGAGCAGAAACACAACCAGGAATTTTATTTACTCTTTTCATTAAAGTAAGAAAATCTGAGAGGAGGAACTTTTGACGTGACCTCCACCAAACAGTGCTCGTCTGCATAACCGCCACTGATAACAGCCGGCGTGCAGGTTTCACTCCCTTATTTACGCTCAGCGAGGTTGAAAGGAGCCTTTGAAGGTGACCGGACCGACCTGTCTGACCGGGTACATGGAGCCGATGGTCTGCAGCGAGCTGAACTTGGGCCAGTTGGTGATCTCGATGGGCTCCAGGAGGAACTGGCGCCCCCTGAAGTTGCTGTGTTCACATATCACCCAGCTGCACGGAGACACAACGAAACGTCACACAGAGACCCACAACAGCTGCTTCACACTACGAGCCGTCATGAGAAGGTTCAGCTCTTCATGGGTCAAACCAGACGGACCCAAATGAACGAGTCTCACCAGCCGCTGTTGACTCTGACGGACAGGATGTGGTTGTTGAAGCCCTCCTCCACCATGCTGACGATCTCGGCCTCGGTGGTGATTTCTCGTCCTTCCAGACACTCGAGGCCGAACAGAGAGATGGAGGGAAGCGAGAAGGTCTGGACGAGAAACGAGGAGGTTTAAAGCGTTAACGACGGGATCACGGAGCACAGAGAGAGTTTCTGCTCTACAGGAGGGGTTCTCACCATCGGCACCACCTTGATGGACCGGATGGTGCAGCCGGCGGGGCAGCCCATGCTGCTCAGACTGGGATAGTCTCCTTCAGACAGGACGTACATGTTCCCAGAGTACTGCTTGCTGTCGTAGAGAACCCAGCTGGAACACAGAGACGTGAGCGGTTACGGGTTTGTGTTGGTCTGCTGGATGTAGATCCTCCATCTTTGTTTTCACTTCACAGCCTCCGAGCAGCGAACTCATGAAAACACTAAGCTGTCAGTGAAGCAGCCCTGCTCCATGGGTCCACCTCTGTGAGACCTTCCTGGAGGCGCTCTTGGCTTTGAACCATTAATATTATTATGATTATTAATGTAAGATGCTTTATTTATTAACTTATTATTCATATGGACTTTCTGCATGTCAGCGTTTTCATTTTTCTTCCCGCTTCCTCACCTGCCGCCCGACACTCGGCACGACTTGGTCAGGACTTTTTCAGAAATGGCCTCCTGGTTCCGGTCGATGACGTGAGCCGGACCCTCGAAGTCGGGCTCAGAGTAAAGGACAATCTGAGGGAATAAAGAAAGGAAAGGGACACGCTGTAAAAACTGCTGCTGCTCTCATCAGAGTTTTAGACATTTCTGCAAGAAATACAACAGCAAACATCTTAAAAACAGAAAATTGTGAGTATTGTGTTTGGTCAGTTATTTATTACAGACAAACCTGTGACGAGCAAACGTCTGTGAATCTTTACTTCTAGCATCTGCTGGGATCTTTTACTACTTTAAGTTTTATTTCACCTTTGACAAACTTAATTTAAATTTTTTTACGGTAAAGTTTTGTTGACTAGTTTGTAAAAAAGTAATTGAGATTTTACATTTCACTTTTAATATTTAGATGAGAAAGGAGGTCAGATAATGTGATAAAGGCTTTTAGATGAAAATGTTCACAATTGTTTCACTGCCAGCAATGTTTTTTCCCAACATGGATAAAATAAAATAAAATACATTAAATTAATTAAAATAAATAAATAAATTACATTAAATTAATTAATATAAAATAAAATAAAAAATAAAATAAATTTTAAAAATTAAAATAAAATAAAATAGATTTAAATAAAATTAATTAAAATAAAATACATTTAAATAAATTAAAATAAATGTAGCCAAAATAAAATAAAATTAAATTAAATTAAATTCCACTAATTCACGGCACATTTTTCAACTAAATTAAGCAGAAATCCTGTTGGTAAATTCACACAATCACTAAATAGTTTGATAAAAAAGTAAAAACAAAATATAATAAAAATGTAGGACAAAATTCCAGTGAGGAGAACATAAACTTTTCCTTTTGTGGTGTGAAAGTTAAAATCTATCATCTGCAGCTCTTTGGACAATAGAGAACATGACAGTTTTAAAAATCATGATTACTGCATGAAGCTACGCTTGATATCAGACGTTCAGCATTTCTCTGCTGATCAGCATCATGGTTCTTTCAAAATAAAACTCGTTAATGGCTCTTGGCTCTAATTCAGTCGTTTCTATCTGGAGTCTCGATCAACATTAAAATTTAATTAAATATATTTAAATCACAAACAAAAGCACTTCAGTGAAGTGTTGTGTTGGACTTTGTGTTGTTCTAAATTCTAACAGAATTTTGGTTCCACATATTGATTATTGAACAACGATAATCATCGGTATCAGGCCCGGATGTCTGATCAACGTGACCACCAGAACCAACGTGAAGCTCCTCCTACCTCGTTCCTGCTCTTTGAACCGTCACTGGGAGCCTGAAAACCGACAGAACAAGAACGTGAGCACAATCACATCATCGCTTTGAGCATTAATTCATGACTTTAAAGCTCCTCAGCGGTTCTGACCAGTAGAATGGGCTGGACTGAGCAGATCCGAGTGTCCTGAGACCCCCAGTCGGCACAGTTGTTGTAGAAGCCTTTCTCCAGGATGTACTGGCTTCCAGAGAAGTCCACGTGGGAGTAAGCGATCCATCTGAGGAGGAGGAGGAACCATAACTACAACAGGTCACAGGGCGGCGTGACAGGAGGACACGGCAGCGTGTGAGAACTTACGCCCCGCTGAGGACGTGGATGGACCTCGTGGAGGTTTTGTAGCCGAACAGCTCCACGTCGGGAATGGCCTCCGTCACCTCGAAGGTGTTCTCGTCCTGGACGCCCTCCTGCTCCTCCTCCGGCTGCTCGAACATCACCAGCAGGGGCTCTGACAGGTCCTAGAGAGGGGCAACGACAACAAGGACATTTTCAGGTTTTTTTCATCGTCCACAGGAAGTGGCCGAACATCTCCACCTTAAAACTGCTGCACAGCGATGACGGAAACATGGAGTCACACTTCTGAGACTTCAGACATAATCAACATAAAGAACAAATCCTGTCAGCTTCGTTGTCGGTTTTCTTCCTGAAAATCAGTTTCCTGTTTGAACACGTGGAGGACGGTCTGCACGTTTTACACGGAACAAGTTCTAAACCTGCAGTTCTGATAGATTAAAACGGGTTCAAGTCATGAACTACAAAATGAAAAATGTAGGACAGCCGTGGATTTGTTTTGTTTTTATGATCCATGTGGAGGATCGTCGTGGCGACCAGAGGAGGGTCTGCAGCTACCATCAGGAGGAGAAGCTAACAGTGGAGGAGCTGCAACACCTGAACAGTCACATCGAGTCAGGAGCACCAGGAGCACCAGGAGCACCAGGAGCACCAGGAGCACCAGGAGCTCGCTGTTCTCCTCAACATGCACCAAGAATGGTTCTGCTGGAACGGTGCAAACATTCAGTGGAATGTTTCCTGCAGGAAAGCATCCTCCACGATGGACAGGAGGACACTTTCCTGCAGGGGCTGGGAAGTGTCCTCTTGTCCATCATGGAGGACACGTCCCACCCCCTGCAGGAAACAGATCACTGGGCAGCTCCTTCAGCGACAGACTGCTTCACCCGCGGTGTCTGGAGGAGAGATGCTGCAGCTCCTTCATCCTGCTGCAGGTCCTTCATCCTGCAGCAGGTCCTTCATCCTGCAGCAGGTCCTTCATCCTGCTGCAGGTCCTTCATCCTGCTGCAGCTCCTTCATCCTGCTGCAGCTCCTTCATCCTGCTGCAGTCAGACTGCTCCATCATCCAGCTCCCAGCAGCTCATTCACCCACCGTGCAGTGAGAATGGAAATAATGTAAATAAGGACACTGTGCAATTTCACAGAAATGTTTTTCTGTGAACATGAATACTTCTCCTAAAAGGAGAATGTAATCTGTTTGTATCTGTGCACTGTGTGCTGCTCTTTCGTCCCCTCTCCTGAGTGTTCGTTTTTTGTTTCTGTGTTTTCTATCTGCTGCTGTAACACTGAACATCTCCCCGCTGCAGGATCAGTACAGCTTTAATCTATCTGAACACGTTAGCGCTTCGCTGCACTCGGATCACAGCGTGGCGGCTCCGCACAAGCTTTGGACCAACATCCACTTCACCAAACTACACAGAACATCAGACACAAACACAATAGTTCAGCACACGCAGCTGGATTTTGCACTAAAAAGAAAACTTCCTGCCGGATATGTTAGCAGAACGTTTTCTTAATGTTCATCCTGATCTCACCTGTTCCTGATCTACAGATACTGTGAACGTTGTTATGACGCGCTGATGTTAAAAACTTCATATTGTGGAATTTAAACTAGAATTTGTGGATTTTGAACTAAATTCAAGTCAGTAAAATTGGCTTCATAACTGAAATTGTTGTGTTGAGCTCATGGCTTTTGTAGCTTCTATGACCCACAATCCTTTGCAGCAGCGTCGTCGTGGAGTCTCTGAGTCTTAAGGTGCCATATCATCACTTCATCATGACAAAGTCCCGACTGGAAGGACAACTGTGGTACGTATTTAAAGTAAAAAAAAAAGACTGAGAACTCTTTAAGTATGGCTCCTGATTTCTTCTTCTTCCTCCCTCAAGTTTAGGACGTTCAGATAAACCGTTTATACGACAGAACAAACGTTGAGGAGGGGAACACAGGAGACGACGTCTACCGTAAATCAGGCGCAGTTTTTGGTTTTTGCTTTTTATGGCCCCTCATGCATTGTTAGCATAAAGCTGATAAATATGGACTGAACGTCTCAACCTGCTGCTTCAAATCAACAAACTCGTGTTGTTTTTTTAGATTAGGTATAAATATCAAAGATTCAAGCATAACATAAAATGAAACTAGCAGTCATATAGAAGTCAGGGTGAGTTTGGTAATGATCTGTAGGAGGCGGCTGAACTGTGGGAGGCATCATGTAACCATAGAGACCGTCTCACCGCTCGGATCAGCCTGATGGACCGCAGCTCCGAGTCGCAGCCTCCCCAGACCCTCCAGTCCTGGAACTCGCCCTCCTCCAGCAGGTACTGGTGTCCCCGGAAGCCCTCCTTCTCGTAGCCCACCCAGCTGCAGACACACAAACTCTCGGTCACTCTCCGCCTTTAAACGAATCAACACAGCTCACCGAACCGGCCTCGTCCGACAGCGGGACTCACATTCCTCCGAGGACCTTGAGGGAGCCGACGCTGTACATGAAGGCGGTCTGCTGCCGGTCCGTCCGGGTCATGAAGTCCTTCATGTTGGTGGTGATGGTCCTGGATTTGCCGCTGAAGTAGGGCTTGTCGTAGATCACAATCTGCAGGCGGAGAGTCCATCACAACCAGGATGCACTGCTGCTAATACGACTTTAATTCACTGTTTGTTTTTGTGCATTTTCACTCAGAACACCTTCACTGTGCATTCTGAACCTCGCTGTGTTTAGGTTCTTCCTCACGTGTTTGTACTGTGGTGGAGGTAACGTCACTGTTTCTGCTGCTTCAGTAAAGTGTTTCTATTCTATTCACGTATAAACTGTCAGTAGCTTCTACGAGTCGCTGCAGGTGGATGAAACTAGAATTTTTTACATCCTCACCTTTGGTTCGCTGGTGTTTTCCACTCGTGGTTCACCCTGTGATGACAGAAACACACGAATCAGAGACAGAAGAATCTGGATATGTGTGAAGAATCCTACACAGAACGGCGCCTCGAAGGTAAAATGAACTTCACTGGCGCCTCGATGGGGAAACGTACACGCTACAGTACAATAAGGACAAAGATGCACAAGGTGTGAGGAGTTCACGTGTGGATTTGCAGAGATATGAAGGCGCCACTCACGACTTTGAGCGGATGCAGCGAGCCCACGTACGGCTGCTCCACCCCCCAGGCCGCGGGGTTGGTGTAGCCGCCCACCTCCAGGATTCGAGGGACGCCCTGGAAGAAGGGCTGAGCGTACACCAGCCACCTGAGGAACAGAGGGAAGACCACGGGGTTAACACCATGACGGCAAACCTGAGAGGAGCAAGCTCTTTGCTCTGAACTCACAGGCCGGCGTTGATGATGATGGAGTTGGCCTTGATGGGGAAGCCGAAGATCCTGGCGTCCTCCGAGGTGTCCCTGAAGACCACTTTCTTTCCTTCTGCGTTCTCCTCTGGGAACAGGCTGATCTCTGGGACGCTGTAGTCCTGCAGGAGGACGAGCGATGCAGAAAACAACGAGGTTATGGAGCTGCGACTCGGTGGCTTCAGTTGGACTGAACATGAACAAATGTGCCGCCTTCTGAACCGACTTCCACCCTCTGAACTCCAAAACCTGCCACCTGGTTTGAAGGGTCTACTTTCTTTACTATAGTGTAAAAACGACACCGTTAATCAGAGGCAGGAACGGCAGACTTTCAGCTTTCTGACGGTTCTTGAACTACTCACCTGTGACGGGACAAATCTGAGCTTAAAATGACTGAAATCTCTTTATTCTTCTTTTCTCATACAAACAAGAAAGACGTTTATTTTAACCAGATTCTGTAAAAAACTAAAAAAAAATTGCCAGTCCAACTTTAAAGCTGTGAGTGACTCAGCTAGAAACGGTCAAAACATAATTATCTGTCAGCTTTAGTCGAGCTACTCGTCTGTTACGTGTCCTTCTGTCGGGTCAATGATCCAAATCTCTAAACTCTGATGCTTCATCAAAATCTTTTCATTCTACAATCTTGTTATAAAAAATTGCAAAAAATTAACAATTTGCAATAATCAAAATCAGTATAAAAATAATAATTCTGTGGTATTCGATGCAGCTGTGAAGCTATGAGTGACTCCGCTGTGACCAACAGTCATGAGACTAAAATTCAGGAACTTTTGGGCTGAACTGCAGGAAGTGTTTCCACAAAGTAGACACTAGAAGTATGGAAGCCAATTAAAAACATAAGTATTAAATTATCTAATAAATTATAAAGTATGCAGAGATTTATTTTCCTGCCCCCCAGTATTGGTAACAAGAGGAAAAATATTGGACATGTTGGTAAAGTGAATATTCAGACATTCCAACTCTTTTATCTTATTTTTGTTCCTGTTCTTTCATTTTAACTGTACACGACTTTATGTTGCAGAAAATAATGAACCACGGCGAAGAAAAATGGGTTCAGAGTGTAAAATATACAAATGAATATTAAATAAAGGCTAAACATCAGTCATTAATGTTTAATTTCTGTTTAAAGTTTTATAACTGAAATAAAACCAGATCTGGAGGCTGAGAGTTTAAAAATGAGATAAATTTGCTGACATTAGTATTATTTTTAACACGGGTCCATAACATTTAAAAACAGTGAAAGCTGCTGGACTACAGTATTTATGCTGCAGCACCTTTTGGTTCCTGAGACTTGATTTGACTTTTGCTCATCGGACCTTCAGGTGTAGACACCTGTCGGTTCCACTAGATGGCGCTGTTGGATCAGAAAGTCTCTGAAAAGAACCTGAGAACCGTTCCAACGTTCCACAGTGTTCCGTCTGCCTCCGTGTTCAAGCACAGGATGTTCTGTGAGTACTTCTGACAGAACCGAGCTCCACTGAGCCCGTGTCTCACCCTGACGGCCCGCCGTATGGACCCGATGATGAACCTCTTCGCCGGCTTCTCCTCCGTCTGCTCGTCCTTCGGTTCTCCGTTCTGCTGTCCAGCCTCCTCCTTCGGTCCGTTCTGCAGCTCCCCCTCGGGGAGGCCGTAGGGATACGTGATCTCGATGTCGCCTTCGTCCAGGGCGATCTTCTCCCCTTTGAAGTTGGGTTTCTCGTATAGAACCCACCTGAGCAGAAGGTGGAAGAACACGAGGTTATGAACGTCTGTGGGCAGGAATCTGGATATTTACAGACTCTGCATCGTATCAGTGAAACGTTCTCCTGAAACCTGACAAACATCTCATTAGTATCCTGACTGCTGCTGCTGGATGGAGACTTTTAGAGCAAAAGACTTTAAAAAACAGGAAAAATATTCAGTGCTGTACAGATGTAGTGCACAGCGGTTAAATAAGTATTTTATATATTTTACTAAAGTAAAACTCCAGCAACGTACAACCAGAACCCACAGAAATACAGAAATTTGTCTGATTTTGTGTTGGAGGAACCCTGGAATCATCTTGTCCAACAAACGCTACAGACACTGAGAAAAACAAAAATCAACTCTACATACTTTGGATAACGACATTTTTCTGATCTGCTTCGTGTAAACGCTGCCTGCAGATCAGCTGAGGCCAAAAAACTCTCTGGATTTTTATCACGTGACTGCTGGTTGTAGCCGAGTCGCTAAAAGCTTCACGGCGGCGCCGGTGAACACAGAATTTTTTGATTTTTAAATAATTTAGTTCGAGAAAACTTTATTTATGGCAGATTTTTGAAATGAGACCAGTAGAATAAAGCGATTTTGACTGAATGTGACTTTAAGCTTCGGTTCGGTTTCCCAACAGAGCGGCGCCTCACGGAGGAGCAGCCGAAGAGAAACCTGATGATTAGATGACGATTCAGTAATTTTGTGAAGACGTGCTGCTTTACAAAGACGTTGAAAATAATCTGAAGAGCAACGATGGACGTCAGGTAAAGCATGAGAATGAAACGTGACATGTTTTACTCTGAAATGTGGCAGAATAGAAGCAGAAAGCTGCATAAAATGGAAATAATAAAGTAAAACCACCTTTAAATCGTACTTAGTTTGAGTCAGTGCAGTTAAATCCCACCACTGCTGCTGCTGCTTCACTGTGCTCACTTTTTAATAAAACTCAGCAGATCTCAGTCGGAGTCAGAGGCTAAAGGAACAAAACCATCTTTAACTCCAGTATTGGATTTCTATGGTTGCGGTTTGGGCAGCGGAGCAGGACGGATGACAGTCCAACCATCTGCTGCGTTTCAGAAAACATTCCAGGTTTCAGCTCGTGTCTGGGTGTGTTAACGTTCACAGGAATCTTCACGCTCCGATTTCACTCAGAGATTTATTTTGAAAAGCAGCGTTTCATCGTTACAGCGCTCGCAGTTCGGCAGAAAGGAGGCGTGGAGGAGCCTCCTGATGGCATCTCATCTGATCAGAGCGCCGAGACGGACGCTTCAGATGCCAAACGTGGTCGACGAAGAGCTTCAACGCACCGCGAGACAAACCGCTGAGCAAACAAGAAGACCCGCTGCAGCCTGACCTGCTTTCAGGCGTTTAGACGTCTGGTCTGCTCGTGTTTTAAGACCTTCATATTTATGATGTTCCATGCTGTCTGCTTCAGGTTTTGCACGCTGCTGCGCTAACATTTAGCTAAAGGCTCATTTTCAGCAGGTGTGATGCTCAAGTGTTTTCACTAAATCAGGTTTTCTAACGTCAGCCGGTTTCCCACAAAGGAAACGACACAGCTGAACCCTAGAAACCTTCCTGTGGGTGTAAAAAACCAAATGATCACTAAAGTTAGACAGTTTAACGTAACTAGAGACTGTGACAGAGTTAAACAGGTGACTGCGTTTGAACTTGAGGAAATGATCCAAATGTTTAAATTGTGATGCTTCATTAAAATCAGTTTATTCTACACGTCTCGTTAAAAGGAGAAACAAACAAACATGCAAATAGTTAAATATCTGTAGTATTCACAGTCACCTCTGTTCCTGGCTACATCTGTGGACATCTGGAAAAATGTTGGACGTGTAGATTCCAGGGTTTGTTCATTTTTGTTTAATAAATAATCAAATAAATTCGTTTGAACGTTCTTTGTGATTTCTGTCGTCGTGACAGGAGACGTCTCTGACTTTTCTCTCCTCCTCCTTCATGTTCTGGTTCCTCAGAGCTGCAGGACTTTATGCTGAAACATGAACCTCAGTGAAGGACCAGGAGATAAGAGCTGGAGTTTAGAGGACTGAGCAACTTCAGGCTCAGAAAGAGAAAGGAAAAAAATCTCTGGATTAAATCTCTTGTCTTTTTGTCAAAGGTGCAGATCTTTGGTCGACAACACGACAGGATGGAGCTGAAACACCATCATCCTCCTCCCTCGTGTATATAAAGTGTCTGTAAAAGAAACTTTTAAACACCTTCAGCTACAAACAGATGAAAACTGATGTTCTTTCTCCAAACTGCTGCACAATCTCAGAATCCTTGTATCTGTGAACGTATTTGGTTGTTTTCTGTATTTTCAGGGAACTCCTTCGTCCCACCCTGCTGTGAACCTGTGAAAGCAGCTCACCCTCCTCTGACCACCCTGATGGAGATGGTTTCCTGCAGCTCGAACGACGTGGCGTCGACCACGTCGCCGCGGACCTCGATCCTCTGACCGCACATCCCCGGCCGGTCGAAGATGAACATCTGGATGAAGGGGAGACAGAAAGTCAGAATATAGATGAAAATGCACATTTTGAGTGTCGTTTTCTGGCGTTTTAGCATTTCTAGCATTTTTAGCTCCTGTTTTTTGTACTTTAGTTTGTATTTTAGCATGTTTTGGCGTTCTTAGCTCTATTTTTGCACGGCGTACTTATTAAATGTTGTACATTGCTGCCGCACTAGAAGATCCCAAAATGACAATAAAGTGATATTTGATTTTCTTTTAAGTTGCTGAAACAGAATCAGATTATTGAATAAACTGTATAAGATAATAGATAAAACTTAGACAGTGAGAATGATGTGTTGAACACTTGCTAAGTGACAGTAATGGCAGCAGATCACTGCCGGTGAGGCTCATGCTGCCTCTGAAGCCTTTACGTCTACATATGATCCTGGGAAAATCCCCCCAAGACATGTAGTACAAGAACCGCACAGAGGACAAAGCTGGCGGTGCAGTTGCATAACCACGTTTCCTAATTAGCATCTGCACGATTAAAGAGAAGTCAAGCACAAATCAAAAGGGAGAAAACACGTGCACATATTTGGGGATTTCGAAGCCGAGCCGAGCGGCTTCGTGAAGGAACTCGCGGCTCAGACTTGTCGGAGGCGTTGGGCGCCGAGGCCCTGCAGCATGGGAGAGGACGGCAGCCTAAATGTCAGCTCCGCCTCTCGGATTAAACATCCTTCACGGACAACGTCAGGCAGAAAATGTTCGCCTTGTCACGAGCAAGCAGAAGCAGGCCTGACATTTAGAAGTTAATAACACAGACGGCCACAGTGGAAGGCAGCAGCTCTGCAGCTTAGCGGCCGACAGAAGGAGTCTGTCTGGTTACCTGGTGCAGAGCAGATGGTTGAACCAGACCGGCTTCTGTTCAAACAGCAGTTATGTAAGAGGCCACAAGCTAACGAAACACAAACACTACCGACGTCTTCTCCCCCTCAGCGTCGAGGTGAATGTGGAACAGTGGGCTGTCTGAGATTCACATGAACGCTCTGCTGTTGTCTCAGAAGGCTGATTTACAGGACGAGATAAGATCTCGATCAGATCCCACGACGAAGACGAGGATCGGAGCCAATCAAAGCATTTTTCAGCTGATCGGTATCAGAAAGAAACTGTCTCACATGTAATGAAAGGAGAGCACAGCCTGTTCCAGGACTACAGGGACCATCATTTATAATAATGGTCTTAATCAATCACCTACAGAGCAGATGCTGCTCTAGTCAACAGGAACTTTCACCAGCTCTGCTACACAAGATGCTGGATAATACAGGAACCATCCCAGTTCGTCTGAAACACCTCAACTCCAGTCGGAGGTCCTGAACCTCCTCAGAGTCTCTGTCATGGTCCCGTTGCTGCTAAACTCCCACAATGCTCTCTGCTGCCACCATGAGCTGCAGTCTGAGTGATGCCTCCTCTGGTCTCTACAGGATTAAACAGGAAGAGGCTCCACCTGGTGGAACAACCAGGTACTGCAGCTGGTCTGTGGTACGTTTAGTGACATTATGTAGAGAACACAGGTTTTCTGTTGGAGTCTCAGAACATCCTAAACTCTACATCTACCCTCTAACCCTATGGTATGGTATTCTAGATCTTCATCAGCTACCAAAACTAGAATCTTCTATGCTCCATGTTGTCAGTTGTCTCTGTTCTTGTGTCTGGTGCCATTGCACAGCACAGAAATTAAAGACTGCATTATTAATACAAATCCAACAGTAACATCAAGTTCAAGGTGCTCAGGTAAAGCAGGCATCAAGTTGATCCGTGCTCTGATGGAGACTCACCTTTCCAGGACGAGGGTTGAGTTTGCCATGTTCCTTCTCTTTGGTGAGCTGCAGAGAAAAGAAAAAAACACATTTTGTGAATTAAAGTTGAGATAAAAGTCAAAACAAAGCTCTACGCTGATGAGACAATGAATGAACCTAATTACACCCGGCCTTTAACGTGCTTCACAATCCAGACATTGTTTACAGGTCACCCCGTCGGACCGGTTCCGTGGTGTCGGAAGGAGCAGCGAGATAAGAGGCCATCCAGCGTTTGACAGCTAGAAAAACATTCCTGTGCTGCACCTGTTTAACCTGATGCTGCTTAAATACCCCCAAAGACAACAAGAGGTCACCTGCGACCTGCTTTCTAAAGAGCTGGACTGTGTGTTTTGAGGGAAGGCTGCTGGGATTGTTGCTAGTCTGCTGGTACGACATGTGAGCGGCTAACACTTGGATTGATGGTGCAGGTCAGCACTCGTCTCAGGTGTCGCCTCCCCTCTTCACTCTGGGAGCTCAGTGTGAAGCAGGTTACCATCCGGATCGGGTTTCCCACCAACAGAGGCTCCCGTTTCACCGCCGCTGCCCTCGTTTAATGTGGAAGAGCAAGTTTGGAATCACATTTAGAGAAACTGAAGCCAGCCTGAGCTCACAGCCCACTGAAGGCTTTCTGAACGTTGTGAATTAGAAGCTTTTTGAATTTCCAGCGAGCCGAGGTGGAGCGTGACTCACTGCAGGAGCGACATTCTGCAGAAAACAGCTTTTCACCGCACAGCCGGATAATTTCCTGCAATTATTCTGGCTTCCTTCTCACATTAAGATCTTGGCTCCACTTAAAGTAGAACATCAAAACAGAAATATCAAAGAGTGTCAGGTTCCTCAGTGCAGCTCCAGCTAACTGAATATTAGGGGCGTGCGCTACAAGACGTCTTTGGCAACAGAAAACACATAAATGAAGTAATTCCTTCCAACTCTCAGACCATTTAACCCTTTCATAACCCTCTGGACTCCATGTTGCCCTTCAAAAGCCCAGAAACTGTAGAAACAGAAAGAATGATCACATTTTTAACTTTCAAATGGCTGCTGAGTCGGAAAATCCATCAAAATCTCTTCACGCAACACGTCTCATTTAAAAATTTGCTCAAATTTGCTCTATTTAGATTCTGTAAAAACAAAAAATTTGCCGCTTATTTGTGCAACTGTGAAGTGATCAGTGGCTCAGCTGTGACCAACAGTCATGTGATGAATAATCAGGGACTCTGGGCTGAACTGCAGGAAGTGTTTCCACAGAGGAGAGTTTAAATAGCTGAAAATTACACATTTTAATATAAACAGCTAAATATCCAGAGTGTGTGGAGCTGCCAGTTCTTTTTCCAGTGTTGGTGACTGATGTGGAGACTTGGAAAAAAAAGTTAGCCATAAAAATGAACCGTTTACTTAAAGCAAAATTCTGCATTTGTCAGTCCAACCATAAAGCCATCAGTGACTCCGCTGTGACCAACGACCATGTGATGAACAATCTGGGACTCTGGGCTGAACTGCAGAAAGTGTTTCCACAAAATAGAGACTACAAGTATGAAAGCAAATTAAAAATGTAAGTAGTAAAATATCTGTGGTAAATAAAGTAGTGAAGTGTTAGATATCTCTATTGCAGCGTGAAGAAAAATTAAACAGGAAAAAAAAACCACCCAGAATCTGCTGCCTGTGGTTAACATGTTATCTGTAGTTTTCTATTTATACTAATGTGCTGTGTGCATATCCTCAATTTAACTATTTACTCAATCAATGATTAAATATTAAGATTCAATATGGTGCTAAAGTGTTTTTTGCTTGTTCTGCTCCAGCTTTCTTTGCAGCATCAACCCTCTCCTATTTGGCATAAACTTCTTCTACAAACAGAAGTCAAACAAACGGGACCCAGAGTCAACATCTCGCCGTCACAGCGACGCTCATGTCATGTTCACTATGTGGATGCTTTTTGGTAGAAAAACCTGATGGAGCTGCCGAGTGACAAACGCTGAGGCAACACGAGTGACATGAAATCATAACGCGACTGACAGAAAGAGTCTCACAGGTTTTTCTGTACAGCGAGTTTACACAACGAAGAAAATGTGAAAACAACGAGGCTGGAATTACTTCAAATGACCAGTTTCATGTTCGCTTAAGAGTTTAAGAAACTCGTTCTGGTTGTTTACAGAAAGACAAACTCTAAGAATGATTTGTTCAAAATGCAGATTTTTGGTCAGAATTTTTTTATTTTATTTTTTACAGTTCTGAACCTCAACAGTTAAAGCTAAAGTTAGCATGAGCGCTAGCTGGTAAAACCAATGTAGAAAAGGTTCACATTCATTAGGACACTTGCAGCTGCTGCATTTAAGAACTGGACAAGTTCACATCCTGATTTCGATCTAAAGACAATCATGTATCCTTCACCTAAAGCTAAATAAAAATCAGACATTCCCTCAACAAATCCAGCTTAAAGTTTATTTATGTGCATGTTTTGTGCAGATCCTGACTTCACTGACTGGCTTCACCCGAGGCTAAATAACTGCATTTAATCAGGATGGTTTAAATCCTCCAAAAGATCTCGATGTCCCACTAAAACTAACTCATCCTCTGCTCTTTCCCCTCCAGCAGTATGCTCCCCCATAAAATCAGCTCCTGCAGAAGGAATGTGCAGCTTCAGCAACATCACATGTTCAAAAATAATAATTAGAAGCACGCCCACGTGATGCAGGCAGCTAACGAGGTACGACTCACGGAGGAGAACAGGTAATCTCTCTGTCGTGTTCTGTTCTCGTACGGCCGCCTCCTCGCTGTCAACTCCGCTCGATCAAACGCCGAGCGAACAGGAGGACAAATGCGAGGATGAACACAAAAGGCGAGGTGTGGCTGTGCAGGAACAGACAGATAGCTGGGATGGGTGGGGAGCCCAGAAAGAAAGTTTCTGCCGCCATCAAACGAACCACAAACCTGCACAGAAACCGACTCTGGGGGTTTAAACATCAGCTCTTTGCTCTGAGATGTGCAGCACATCAGTGTGTTTTTAACAACTTTTAGAAATCTGTTTATTGTCTTCTTCCTCTTTGGCTGCAGGATGAAGCTGTAAAACGGATCCTTGTTGACTCTGGGACGGCAAACACTCGACTGGTTGCACACTTTAGAAGCACAATTATGCAAAAACAAGTTATCTGCAGGTTGCATAACTTGATGTTTACTCTTGTACATGGTGCATCTATTTCTCAGACTCCTCCATGTGTTTATTTTTCTATATTCCTCTATGCCCTGCTATATTGAGATATTAGAACTGAAAGTCAATTTGCACATTACATATTTTCTGCTCTGTACATTAAGCACATTACAAACACTTTTACTGCCTCAATCTGTGCCAGAAATGTTTTATGTGCATCGTTCTCGACTGTGATTGAAGTAATTACCTGCAAAGCATCATTAAAATATCTGTTTATCCACACTGACGACATGCCACTGAACTCATGATCGCCACGCAGCCGGTCGGCGCGTTTCTGCACAAAACGCTGCACAGCCGAAGCATCATAACCGCGAGGACGACGTGAATAAATCACCTGAAATAAGCTGCTGCCGCGGTCGTTCTCTGTAATTACGCCGCCTCTGTGGTGTCAACACACGTCCGACAACATTTCGTGCCTTTTCTCTGCGTCTTACTCAGAAGCTGAGCTGTAAATTCTGGACGGTTTGAAACGCCACCTGTCAAAAATAAATGTGAAAAACTGCAGAAATATTTCTCCCTGCAGATCTCCAGACGCCCAGAGCCTCGTCTGCGGTCGTGTTCGGGCTTTGGCTTGAGTCACAGCGCTGAGCCCTGAGCCAATACGCATCAGAACCACTAATACTCTGAAATCCAGCAAATTTGTAGCACAGGTTTCTTGGCAGACTTTCTCCGTATCTTATTCACAAGTTGTTCTGTAAATTCTTAATAAAAAGAAGAAGGAAAACGTGGCACAGACACATGTTCCCTCCTCTGAAGATCAAGAACAGAAAAGCACCGGCTGAGTCATACTACTGAACACTGTGCCAGTATTTGTACTAATACTACTCATATTACTCCTCTGGAATCCAGCTGAACCTCGTTTTGTGTTCGCAGCACAAGTTCGTTTCTTGTGTCTTACACAGAAATATTCCCTCTGCAGGTCTGTAGACGCCCAAACCCTCGTCTGAAGCTGTGCTCTGTGCATTGGTTTAAAAAAAGTTTGTGCAAATGTCTGTACGAACACGACTAAAGCTACACCTCAGGAGTCCGGCTGGCTTTATTTGACATCATCTCTCGTCTAAAGTCTCGCTGCATGTCATTCAGTTTTACATTTCTGATTAGGAAGACAAAAATGTGCTAAATACATGTTTCTCCTGCAGATCTCCGCTCCTCAGCTGAAGGTAGCATCGGTAGCTAACGTGAGCTGTGGTCAGACTGAACTTTGGCTTCAAGAATTCCCTGCTTGAGTCACACTACTGAACACTGAGCCAATATTTGTATTCATACTACTGGAGTTACACCTCCAGCTGAACCTCGTCCCACAACACTTCCCGCCTGTCGTCTCTCTCCATCATTTTCAGAAGTAAAATAAAATGAAATAAATCTAGAAGAAACAAAATAATGTCACAAATAAATGTGGAAAACCAGTGAAGCGTTTCCTCTGCAGCTCTGTGGAGACTAAACACCGGCTTGTGCTAATATTTGTGTTACTACTAGTAAAATATCACCTCTGGAATCAACCAGCTTTGTTTGTGCAACACAAGTTTGGCTGTTTTTTGTCTGCATTTTCTCTTCATGCAAGTTATTCTGGATGAAAAACTCCTCTTTCTGTTGTAATATTTCTCCTGGACTCTTAATCCCTCGTCTGAAGTTAGCATCAGCCGCTAACGTGAGCTGTGGTCGCGTTTGTGCTTCGGCTTGAAAGAAATACCTGCTTGTGCAAATACTAGATTTGAAGTTACACAAAGTTTAACAGGTTTAACAACGTTTGTGGCCTGAATTTTCTCTGCATCTTATCAAGACGTTGAGCTTCTTTATAAGTTTCAAACTCCCACGTCGATAAAAAACCTGGAAAATCACAGATGATGAGCACCTGTTTGTGCCAATATGAGCATCATTACTGCTGAAGTTACTTGTTTTTTCAGTTGGACGCTTCTTTTTCAATGTATTTTATCCAGAAGTTGAAAAGGACAGTTTAAAGCTCAGACTGTCAAATCAAAAAGCAGCACATCTCCAGATCCTCTCTGTCGTCAGCATCAGCTGCGGTGATGCTTTGGCTTCATATAAAGCATCTGGTTCTGCTGAACGCTGTGCAAACATTGGCATTGTTGAAGTTGCACCTCTAGAATGCAGCCGACTGGTTATTTGTGTTTGCATGGACTGAAACAACAGCTGAACACAAACGCTGTGTGACAGCCGACCTTCCCTCTGTCGACTACCATGATTAATGCCTGAGTGAGAAAAACATTTGCGTGCTTTTGCATCCGACTCGTGTTCGCCGACAGACAGGAAAAGTGAGAGAGGGTGTGCTTGTCGCCGCGCAGACACGTGTGAGCAGATGTTTTTTTTGCGTTTGCAGCCAATAGAAATCGTTCTAAGACGCGTTCTAATCGGTTAAATCCTTCGCAGGCCGAAGCGCGTTGGAACGTGTGGAGACGTGTGAGAAGCAAAAGGCCAAAAACACACCCTGCAATGGGAACAGACGGAGGCTGGGAGGTGGGAATCAGGGGTTTGATCAGCGCCACATTAATGATGCACTGGGAACAGGCTGCTGTTTACCATCAGAAGGCTGCCGGGCGTCTGCTCACATCTGAATAACTAAGCTCTGTAGGAGGTGTAGAAGACGGACAAATACCAAGAAAAACCTCCCAGAAAGAGACGCTTCCTGTGCTCACAGTCGGGAAGCTAATTTTAAGCAATTATCTTAACGATGATTATTAGTATTTGCTAATCACAGAACAATGTGGGCTATATATCTGTGTTTAACATCAGCATTTTATAATCTACATAAAGGTCCAGTAGCTCTACAATAACACAATCTTTTCCATATTTAGAAGAATCTGTACAATATCAGCAGCACTAATGTAGATGTCTGTTTGGTTTTTTTTAGGTATCTCTACATTTTAGCGTCTTCTGTTTCTGCTGTCACACTGAAAATTCCTCTGCTGCTGTAATAATAAAAGATTAGCTGATGTTAGCAGCGTTTTTAATCAATAACCGATAACAGCTAATCAAAGTTCATTATTGTGACATTAGCCACAGCGTGGTTGCATCAGCGTGAGGAGATTCTGGCTCGACTTGACAGAAGTCTCCGTCATGATGCTAGCTAAACTCCCACAATGCTCTCTGCCACCGGGAACTCTGTCCTCGTGGACCCCAGGTGGGTTGATTTAAGAGTCTAGAGGTCCTGAACCTCCTCAGAGTCTCTGTCATGGTCCCGGTGATGCTAAACTCCCACAATGCTCTCTGCTGCCACCATGAGCTGTAGTCTGAGTGACGCCTCCTCTGGTCTCTAAACAGGAAGAGGCTCCACCTGGTGGAACAACCAGGTACTACAGCTGGTCTACGGTATGTTTACTGACCCTTACGTTTACTTGCCCTGTTGGTTAATATGTTGTTAATTATTAACAGCCAATAATCTACCAACCGTTAACATTCCTCTTTGACAACAAACCACTTGTGAAGTAATCGTCTCGTCTACACCCTGTTTGTCTATTTTTAACCACAGTGAGCTGATCTGAGGATAACAGCCGCCTGCATGAAAAGCAAACACCGAGTTACAGAGCAAAGATTTTCTTTCTGATTTTGTCACACTACCTTCCTCTGACTGAAAACAGGCTGCGTCCAATCAGACGTGCTGCTTTAGGAGCTCCAGTGAAACACCGACTGTGAAACAAAAAGTTTTTCTGTTTGCGACTGTGCTGCTGTGCTCGTCCCCTCTCCAAAGCCTCCAGGTGGAACACATGCATTATTCATGGCCTGTGTGCTCGTTCCAGCCCTGAACCGAAGCCTGTTCTACATAAAATACCTGCACAAACCTCAACAGCACAGTTATGCAAATGGTGTAACGTGATGTGTTCAAGTCACTTCTTGCATGAACTGCTGTGTACTTTAATGTCACCCGAACAAACAAGAAATCAGGATGTTCTGATCTGTTCTCAAATATCAGGATCAAAGCATTTTTTAATTGAACGGAATCAACATGAACTGATTCTGATTCGTTGTTTACGTCTGCTGTCAGGCAGGGAGACGATAGGGATGCTAATAAACTAACTTGCAGCATGATCAGTTCACTGAAGCAGAGTCGTGGTTTTAGCCACCAGGCAGCTCTCTCACATATGATGCTTGTCTTGAACACCTGAGCTCTGGTCGGAGGTCATTAAGCATCACAGAAGTCTTTGTCATGGCGCCCGTTGCTGCTAAAACCCCAAATGCAGACCAGTCCACATTTGCCCTGTGCTCTTATGACGGTTTCTGGACCCCTGATTTGGACTTCAGAGGAAGCTCTGCTGACAACTCTGTAGTAGCTGAAAGCTCCAGAGGTCCTGAACCTCCTCAGAGTCTCTGTCATGGTGATAAACTCCCACAATGCTCTCTGCTGCCACCATGAGCTGTAGTCTGAGTGACGCCTCCTCTGGACTCTAAACAGGAAGAGGCTCCACCTGGTGGAACAACCAGGTTGTACTCGGATACTTTGGTGCGTTAATTTGCTTAAAATGAGATCTTATGACTGTTCTAGAGTGCTTGTAAATTAAACACAGTTGGACAGAACAAATTAAAAATCAACCAGATAAATACTAGCAAGTCATCGAGGTAGAAATGCAGTTTTTTGAAACTGATTTGAAAAACTAAAATACTTGAAGTATCAGTAAAACAAAGTTGGATTGGGACACTGACCGGCTAATCCTTCATCTGCACCACATCTAATAAAACGAATACAGAAACCTGGTCATACTCACATAGGCATCGGGGAAAGCTCTGTACTTGGACGCTAAGTTCTTGTCAGGTTCGGGCTCTTGGTTCTGGAACTGAGAGCCTCCGTGCATGTTGCTGAACAGCGAGGTCTGGATGCCCTCGCTGCTGAAGCTCCTCTGCAGGATGGGGTTGGGCATGGACAGCGGCGAGTCCGCCACGCCGAAGGCCCTGTGGAGGTCGATGGAGCCGGTGGGGCTGAGCAGGCGGGTCGGACTGTTGTTGTGAGGCGGTGAGCCGACGCCGAGAGATGGAGGCCGACTCATCCGGGCCACGTCGTCGGACCCGGTCAGGGAGCCCGACTGGGAGGATGGAGACGAGTTAATGAGGAAGGAGAAGCGATCGAAGCGAGAACCTGCCGGGTCGCCGAGCTCCTTCGAACCAACGCTGATGCGGTCGTTGGAGAGGCCGGTTTCTGGCAGCGAGCCGGTGCGGAAGAGCCCCCGGTGGGCTTTTCCGTTTTCCAGCGTCTGATCGATGGATGAAGACCTGTAGGTGCCGAACAGCATGCTGTTGTCGAGGCGGGAGGACGGAAGAGTTCCGTTTCCGTTCAGCACCATCGACTGTAAATCCTCGGACGAAGGGTCGGAGGGTCTCCTCAGCATCAGGCTGTTGGGGTTGGATGCTCTCAGCGGCAGGTTCAGGCCTCTGGATCCAGACTGGTCCTGCCGGTGATCACAAACATGCAGAAGTTTAAGGTTGGAATCAGCCACATCACAAGAAAAGAGCCTCAACAATCATCTGGTTCCATGTGCTTCACCAACATCTAGCTTTGAGCTGGTCCACCTTCACCACAACGCTTCAGATTAAACTGAATCTGTGACGCCAGATTTGATTAAACACATTTAAAATGACATGATTTACTGCATTTCTTATGTTATTTAGTTTTTTCTGAGCAACATCTGGCACCTTTGGGATTAATAAAGTTTTATCGTCTTTGATCTTTATCAAAAGTGTTTTCTCAGAATCAGCTGCCAAGTTTCTTGCGCAACCAAACAAGCAACTGTGGAAAGCAAATCCAAGTTTTAAACCTTTAAAGAGCAATTAAACTGATCTTATAGTAAATCTCCTTAAAATGAGATTTTGCTTTTATTCTGTTTCTGTCTCGTGCAGCAGGTCTTCTTGCACATTTCTAGTCGTGCTTTTGACATTTCTTTCTTCACAACAAGATTATTTTAACAATAATTAAGTTCTATTTGTGATGCTGACAGACTTGAAAAATTACATTTAAAAGCAGATTTCATCAGAATCAGGAGACAACTTTCCTACACAACCAAACCAGCAGCTTTAAAGTGCAAATGCAAGTTTTTAAATCGTTTTCTTGTTGATCAGTCAAACTTTTATAACAGTCAGTCTTTTTAAAGTTCTATTTCACAGTCGTTTTAATGCATAGAACCAGTCGCGCTTTGAGATTTCTGCTTTCACCGCGACACACTTTAGATGAACTAAACTCAATTTGTCACGCTGACACATGTTTTAAAAAAAAAAAAGCATTAAAAACGTGGCAGCCAACTTTCCTGCACAAACCAGCAACTGCAAAGTTTGCTGATAAACCAACATGTTTCATTTTGTCTGTTTCTGTCTAGTTTTTCATGCATGTGCGTCTATCTTTAAAACAGCTTTTCTCACCTGCGTCTCGTCTCCTGAATGTAAATGATGTGTTCTGTGACATGCAAACTGCTGCACCTCCCTCAGAGCCCTCTGTCTGTCTGATACACTGAATAATTCTGCCATCATACGAACACATGAGGGCAGATTTATGGGCATTTTTCATAATGAGGAGCTTTCATAAAGCCGGTCCCTTGAAAAAGAGATCTTGCAACCTCAGTGGGACTCACCTGGTTAAACAAAGGTTAAATAAAAGAAGACAGTAAGAGTGAATACCTGCGTTTGCATCATGAGCTCCAGAGGAGATCTGGAGTCTCTGGGAGCTCTGAGCCCCAGATCAGCAGGCAGCGTGTACAGTCCGTTCAGGGACTTGGATGGAGATCCGTCCACCTTCTTCCCGTCCGGCACGGTGGCGTTGATGGGACTCTGAGCATCCTCCACGATGGGAGGCAGCGAGGACATGAGCGGCGGGGGGGCGGCCCGGACGCCGGTGGCCCGTGGCCTCAGGGAGGGTCCCATGTTCTTCAGGGTGTCCACCAGACTCTCCATGTCGCACTGGATGGGGGACTCTTCCTCGGGGGAGGCCGGGGGCGTGGACGGGGGAGCAGCGGGGTCGGAGACCAGCTCCACCAGGGTGGCCGTGAACACTCCAGTAAACTCGGACGCCTCGCTGCCGTCGGCTGGAGAGGAGGAGGGAAGCGGCTGCGTCTCCCAGCGGGACCTGATCCTCTGAGACTCTGCCTGTCTCTGGGCTTCTCTTTCACCTGCCGGCTCCTCCCAGGCCACCGGGCTCCTCCTCCACACGGCTTCTTGGCTTTCGCGGCTCAGATCAGCTTCAGTGCTGTCGCTCAGGGTCATGTGCTGCTCTGCGGAGGGGGAGGGGGAGGAGAGGGAGGAGCTCAGGTGTGCTGCAGCCTCGGGCAGGTGAAGGCTGCTGCTGGAGTCGGAGACGTCCTCCTCTCTGCTCGGCCGGTACTGGGTCACCCCCTCGAATCTGTTCTTCCATCTGTACTCTGGAGGCACGTCGAACTCGGAGGCACTCGTTCTGACTGAGTCCACCGAGTCCTGAGCCACGTCCTCGTCACCCACCAGAGAAACTTTACGAAACCGCTGCTTGGTTTCGTCCTCTCTGGGAGGAGACGAGCTCTTGAAGGACAGTTTGGTGCTCAGGCTGCCGTAGCCCGAGTTCATGGTGTCGACCGAGTCCTGGTCGGGTTCTGTCAGCCGGCTGTCTGAAGTGAAGACGTGTGAAGCCGCTGTGGCCTGGAGGGACCTGAACAAGCAGAGATAAACAGGAAAACATGATGACAAACGATGTCAGCGACACTAGACTCATAAATGCAGGCTGATTATTTAATGGCTGAAGGTGCAGACGGTGCTGCAGACGGTGCTGCTGCGGAGGATCAGGGTGTGGCGACCCAGCAAACAATGCAAATCACACAAAGCAGCTTTGCATATCTTCACTTGCATGTAATGGCAAATAAAGCTGACACCTGATGATCACAGCGGCCGTGTGGCTCATCCGCCGGCCGCATTTCTAACGTTTAACGACAGACAAAAGCCGCAGAGTTTTTGCAGAAACTGTAAATGATTCAAATTGTGCCAAGAGGATCGTGTGAACACGAGACAAACAAAGTCACCCAAAGTCAACACGGCGCTTTTTACAGCGACTCTTTGGAAGAGCTTCAGATCGGAGCAGCTGGAGGTTAAACAAAGTGAACGATAAACGAAAACTAAAGTCTGCTGAAGCAGCTCTGTCATTAAAAGTCGAGCAGTCGATCCTCCGTCTGAGTCATTTGACCTTTAGGGATCTTTAAAGGTTGGGTCACGGTATTATTCTGTCAGATACTTTTGTGCCGCCGTCGGCTGCGTGGGCGACCGGCAGCGAAAGGTGAACAGAATACCTCCTCGGTGGCGTCACCAACTGTCACCAAGCTCACAACAAAACTATTCAAAGGTCAGAGGAAGAGAATTTCCTGAGTGAACTACAAACACTTGGCAGCAGCTGCTGTTTGCATCACTGAGGAGGATGATTGAAGGATGTTGTGTTTGCTGCATCCAGAGATGCTGCAGAACCAGTAGAGGACAACCTGCAGCCTGTTATCACAAAGAGGTCGCAGCTGATTTGCATAAATTTGTGGAACGTTCTTGCTCGATGGAGTCATTTCAGTTGAGGAACAGAAACGATAAAATCTGCATGTCTGAAGATTCTCAGTCATCCAGGTCACGGTTGTTCTCGTAGCTTCAGTCTCAAGCTTAAGTCCAGTTGATTAAACCAGGAGAAAAATCCACATCAGTACATGTCTTGTCATGTCATGTTCTCGACACACTTTCACTTTCTTCACTGTGACTAAAATCCTCCACTGTGGGATTAAAAAAGATTTTCTGATCTCATCGTAAAATTCTTTACAGAACTCCAGGAATCACTTTGTGTGTAAATGAGAAACATCTGATGAATAAAAGTCCAGCAGGCGGCGCATCAGGAGGCAAAGCGAGATGCAGAGTGTAAAAAACAGATCATAGCCAACAGAAGAAGTGTTAAAACAAGATGACCTCTGAGATGAACGGACGCTACAGACGACAGCAGACTGGTTCTCTGGATTTACACACATTAAAGTCATAACGTAATAAAAACATTAATATGAAGGTTAGGAACCTCTACGCACTGAAGCCGAACAAACTTTGGTTCAAATACGACTTGAAGCTTCAAACGGTGCCGATGCTTTGGCTGCACTTAATGCTCTTTTTCTTTAGAAATTGATCCGACAATTTGCTATAAATTAATTTAATCGGTTTTAATCTGTCGCGACACTCTTCACACTCCGGTTGTTTCAAATGTGCTTTTGATTCAATTTCAAACTGACCTTTTCCAAACACATGAAGGATTAAGATCCTGTAGTTTCAACCAAGGTGTGGATTTAGCTGAGTCATTTACATATTAGTGATTAAAAACAATATAAAATACGACTTTACTACTAAATAATAAGCCTGAGAACTGCTATGGTCCTAATGTGGAGCTAATCTTCACAGATAGAGAGCATCCTATAACAGATCATCTTCTATAAAAAGCACAATATTAAACTGTAAATAAGAACTGGTGTCTTTATTGCAGCCAAACTGAGTTTTATCAGCTCAGGTCTCGTCTCCTCTGGACGGTTGGACGGTAACAGCTCAGACAGACAAGCAGAGGGTCGAAGAAACATGATTTTAAAGCTCCGGTGTGGTTCGTCTTTCACACCTCCGGTGGAAATCACCTCCTCTTTCAGCGCCTGGCGTTGCAGAACACATTTCTGCGGAGCCACACCTTCACCTGCAGGCAGCGGCTGACTGGCAGTCCTCCTAAAACAGCCAGTCAACGTCTCCAGCTGACAGCGCACAGGCAGACATTTGAATATTAGGTTTCAGGTACGTTCTGTGAACTCGCACAGCCACACCTGGAACATCTGTGCACATACATGTCCTGGGACACATATGGGACAGGGAGGGATCAGGTGTAGAGAACTTCTCATGCAGGAGCAGAACCTGCCTGTTTTCAGAGCAACATCCGCCTCCAGACGGCCGCTCGGTAAATGTTTAACCTGGAGTCTGCAGCCAGCTTTAAACGGCACCAACAAAACAGTTATTAAAGCGTTTGGCTGCATCGCTGTGAAGACGACACACTAAAGCTACAAACTGAGCAAACACATGAAGTCAAAGCGAACAAACGAACAGAGACGAACACCAGCAGCACGATTCAGTCACAACCACAGAACTGATCCGACTGTTGGAGGACTTTGATGGGAACAGATCAGATTTGTTTTGGTTCCTTTTCTCTACGAGGGGTTAATGGATAACTCACTGAGGTCTATCCATCATCTCTACACCTTCATCCTCACCAGGGTCATGGGGGCTGGAGTCTATCCCAGCTGACTCAGGGTGAAGGCAGGTTCACCTGGACAGGTAACCAGTCTATCACAGGGCTACACTTAGAGACAGACAACCAAGCACACTCACATTCACACCTACGGACAATTTACAATCACCAATTAACCTCAGCATGTTTCTGGACTGTGGGAGGAAGCCGGAGAACCCGGAGAGAACCCACGCTGCACGGGGAGAACATGGAGACTCCACGCAGAAAGATCCCGGGTGTCCTCACCGGGACGTGAACCAGCGACCTTCTAGCTGTGAGGCCACGATGCTAACCACTGATCCACCTGCAGCTCTGAGACTTTAAATGACAAATAAATGAAAATATTAAAGGAGCCATGAACCACCACAGACGTCTGGTCTTGACCTGATTTAGTCTAATTACTATGACAATTCGTTAAACGTTGTCCTAACGTGAATAATTAACACCAAGCCGACAGGTTTAATATTAAAGCTGTTATGTTAAGGCCACAACGCGATGAGCAGCTACAAGCTCCAACAGGATTTTACCAGGAAGAAGATGTAAAATGGGGCTTTTTAAAAACTTTTTTTTACAGATAAAGTTCCTGCAGACTTTAAACACAACGTCCAGTTTTTACCAGAATAAATCCCTGTTTACTAAAATGCTGAACATTAACAAAAAATACAGAAACAAAATGAGAGATGTTAAATTTAGCAGTTCTTTGTGATTAGAGTCTGTAAAATTCTTTTTAGTTTGAGTTCAGTCTGTTGGTTTGCAGAGACAGAAAACTACAAATAAACTAAATAAACCAAAAACATTCAGCAGCAGTCAGGAGGTTTGTTCAGACATTCTGGAAATGTTTAACATCAAACTATTTAGCATTTTGATGATTTTTTATGCACCAATTTGTTGCTCTTCAGCATTAATTTAGTGTAAAAACATGTTATTCATGTGAAAAAGAAAGCTTGAGGTGACAACACATGAATCAAACTAAATTAAATGCACGGCTGCAAAAAAATGTAAAATCAAAAAACTAGAAATGTAATTTATAGATTTAAATAAAGATTTTAACATTATTTTGATGAGTTTACAGAATAATTTAACTTTCTCTCCACCTTCAGTTCAGGATTTTAAGTCCTTAAAGTTTGTGTTTCTGCTCCCAGTGAGGTTCATTTAAACTGTAGAAGAACTAATTCCTGAATTAAATGTAGATCTTTGTTTAAACACAGCCTAATGAGAACTTTTCATAACTTTAGAGGACGGTTCTCAAACTCTAAACCTGTGTTCTGGTGTCCTGGCTGTGAACAGGTGGAATCTACCTGTGAGTCCTCCTTTGTTTGGATAATGAACCTGTTCAAGTGTTCAAGTGTTTATGTCTGTCGTAAACTTTCTGTACATTCAGGAAATTTCACACATAGTTTACAGGAGGAGGAGGAGAAACGCCCTGCTGGAGCCGCGGCGACGAGGGAAAGTCATGGAGGTATTTCAAATAAAAGTTTTTACTGGCGAGGGAACACAGCCGAGGTCA